ACAGCATCCTCACAGGAGACGTGCAGGTTGGCAAGGGTCTAAAAACTATAATGCAAAGGTTGTGTTTGGACCCTATGCTTAATCCAAAGGTAGGATGACTAAGCAAGGAAGTGATAGCTGTCCTCACTATGTCAAGGGTTACAGAATTGTGTGTCACCGAGTCAGGTTTTGAGAGAACATGGGATGTTGGAAAGAGTCAGGGCACCTGGGGGCAAGTTCATCAACTTTTCCAGGCTTCAGTTTCCTAATCGCTAAAATAGAGTAGGAGTTGGACAATCTCTGAGCATCTCTTGTCTCTCTCACTTTGTAATTCTGCCCTCCTTCCCATAGAATCTAGAGCAAATTCCTGTTTATGCATAAAGTTTGGGATAAAGGATGATTTTTGCTAAGTGGCTACTATAATGAAAGAACTTTGAATTGCATATTGCTCAAACCACATCTGCTGTCTCCATTACCTCATCTGTTCTATTGACATGAGAACCTAACCTACTTTGCAGGAGTTACATGAGGTGATAACATGGGGAAGCATCTCATCAGCTCCAAAGATGTAAACTGCTGTGTTGATCATTGCTATGGCTGGCTTACAAATTTTTCCAAGAATGAAAATATAAGACGCTCTTAAACACTAATCTGTTTGCCATGACTCAGAAGATCCTTCAGGAAGTTACAAAATCTCAGGGTCATGATCATGAACATGGAGTAATTTTGTAGAAAAATTAAGGACCTGGCAGTTTGTAGTCTTTGGTTTTTAAGATTCAAATAAAATAGGAGCATACTGACTGTGTACTGATCCCTGAAGGGAATAGAGCTCCCATATTCTCAGTCCATCATTTTACAGATGAAGCCCCTGAGCCAGAGAGAAATTGAGCAGCCTACCCAGAATCATGTGTTAATTAGTGGCTGATCTGAGAATAAAATCCAGGCTTCTGACTCCTAGCATACTCTCCATCTTTAGTATAAGCATTAACTCAAAGACTGAAATGAGGGTAAGATTGCCCTGATGAATGTGGCTGCCCACTTTGAACATGGAATTAAAGAGATCAAGGAAGTTTAAGAGATCAAGGAAGTTTAAGAGCCTGGGTGTATCAGAAGGTATGAGACCATGAACTTGACTTGACTCTCACTGGGAAAAAAGTGCAGTGGAATTAGGCATGATTTTCTTAATCATAGGTATTCATTTCCTCTGCACAAAATTCTTCTCAGATAGTCTCTGAAAATTAATTGGCATTAAACATGCTGGTTTTAGTAAACGGCTTTCACTGGGTTTGTTATGTGCACAGGAAGTAGTATATAGGTGCAGAACAATACAGTGTCTGTCTCGGGCTCCCCGGCTAATAATCATTAGCACCTGTGTTCCTTCACTATGTTGAGTCAAGGTTTCAGGAGACAACCGTACAACAAGTTATACTTGTTCACCTCTCACCTTGCTCAGGCAGCCTCTGTCCTGCCGGCAGCTGTGATGTCATGTGAAGAGTCCAAGCAGTTGAGTGCTTTGAGCAGTTGAGTGCAGTGAACAAGCAGCCCAGAAAGTAGTGCTTTGTTTCTGGGGGCATTAAAAGCAGAGTCTCATCCATACCTCCCTCCTCTTCCCATTTATATGTCTATTTCTCTGAGGATCTAAAGATTTTTTTTTTTCGTTATATTTCTGTTCTCTTGGTAGCTTGAGAACGCCTCCAAGGATCTCAATCTTAAATAGGTAGGAGTCAGTTTCAGTCTTTTTTGAATCCTAAGAGGTGTTGAAAACCAGTCTCAATTCTGAATCTGGAAGGGTAATGCATATGTACACGTAGAGTGATGGACCAGAATGTAGACCCTGGGGTCAGACTGCCTGGGTTGGAATCTGAGCTCATCTTGTTCCTAGGGCCATACAACCTTGAGCAAATCCCTTAAATGAACTGAGCTTCAGTTTCCTAATCTTAGCCCCTATCTTAAGGGTTATATGCACATTCAGTTAAATGAACTAATATTTATAAAGTGATTACAACAGAGCTAGGTGTATAAAAGTGCTTAATAAATGACTGTTTAGTAAATTAAATGGTTTCAATTAGACCAGAGTTGCCTCCAGGTCCTATTCTCTGTTCCACTTAGAAGCTTTAACACACCAGGGCCCTTAGGTTTGAGGGAATGGCTTCTTTTTCCTTCATTAGAATTGCAAAGCACATCTTATACCAAACCTTTTTATTCTGTAGAATTAAAAAGGAAATCGCTTTGGGATTTGACTTCCAACACCTAAAGTGTAGCAGACCTCTTTTGAGATCAGTGAGCTGTCCACCTTCTCTCTTTATGCTAATGGAAGAGCAGTTGACTGATCCATTTATTGAGTGGCCTCGAGCAGGTACATTTCTCCATCAGGGTCGCTTTTGTAAAACTGCTAGGATTGCAAAGTATTCTCTGTCACTTTCTGGGTCCCTTGAGCCTCAGGTGGGTTCCTGGTGAGGGGTTCCCACCTGGCTGGGGCCCTGGTTGCCTCAAGGACTGGGCTGTGGGAGCGATTAATGGGAAGTGAGAAGAGAAACAGTTGTTCTTAACCAGCAGCACCCTTTGCAGTGTGTGACTCTTCTTGTATTTAGGGAAAAGATTACTCATGAGTATTTTCTTCCATAGAATATAAAGAACCTCAAATTACTACTTGCGTCCCCCCACCCACTTCTCCTCACCTCCCTCCATCTCAGCGTGTCCTCCGCAGAAACTTCAGCATTTTGCTTTCATTTCCCCTCCCGTGCAGGATTCAGTTCTGTATCTGCTTTGGCACCGGCACTTCCCGCAAGCTGCCCTGTGCTTTCCCTGCTTGGCCTGAGCATCCTGTACTCTCCGGCCTTCTCTCTACCAGGGGCTTTCGTAGGCCAAGCTTGACTTGACTGGCCACCCGTCTCATAATGGCCAGTGTATTCCTGCTCCTTGTGTGAAGGACAGGAAGGTAGACATCTGTAACGGGACTGTGCTGTAGGAAGTGTGAAGGTTTTCACTGGCTCAAAAGTTGAGACTTTGCTGAGCAGCTGCTACCTCACTATGATTCCCTATATGGATTTTTGAGGTCACTGTAAAGAGCGGGGTGCCTCCTGTATCCTGGACCATTTTCACAGGCATTGCTTTCTGGCTCAGCCAATAGTCAAAAACAAAACTTTGAATCCTTTAGTGGCCATGTTTTAAACTAATGGTCATGAAACAATCACATACTACTCATTATTCTATAATGCTACTTGGTTTTTTTCCATGTGAAAAAAATAACCCCCCTAAAAAAAAAAAAAAAGAAAGAAAAAAGAAAAACTCTTAAATGCCTGGCCCTAATGATTTTGATGCCCAATAGTGTTTTATTGGTGCCTTTCAAGATGGCTGGCTTTAAGTGGACTTCCATAGAGTCAGAGGAAGCCAACTACCTTTCTTCAAAAGGATATTCCAGGGAGGAGCTACTTGGAGCCAACATCGTGCCCAGACCCCTGGATAGACTCCAAGGAATCTCAGCCATTTGTTCCCCACTCCAGCAGCCCATTAAGAAGATTACACAGTTCATTGTCATACCTGTTTCAGGGTAAAAGGGATTCTTTCCAAGATCTAACTGAAGGACACTTTTATGACATACTCAGGGAGTCTCCTTAGGAAGTTTAAGTATCTTACACTGAGAGAATGAAGCTTCTCTTAGCCAACATTGATCCCATTGTTCTCTATTTGAACTACTGAGTCATAACATGGGATTTTTAGAGAATGAAGCTCTGTTGAGCTTCTAGCTTCTTCTGACCCAGTGGTTCTTAAATTCTTGCTGTCAGGATTCCTTTTAATTCTTAAAAAAATTTTGAAGACTTCCCAAGAACTTTTACTCATGTGGATTCTATCTTATCTCTATTTGCCATATTATAAACTAAAACAGAATTTTAAAAATACTTATTAACATTGAAAAAGAGTAAGCCAAGTGTACATTCATATAAGTAATATATTTTTTTAAAAAATGTTTTTTAAAACAAAAGAAAATCAGTGCAAAAAGTAGCAGCATTAGGCAATTTTACAAGTCTATTTAATACCTCACTTTATAGAAGATAACTAAATCCTCAAATCTTCTGCATTCAATCTGTTGCACTATCACTTGTCATGTAGCCACTAAAGCATTCCAATATCTGGTCAAGAAAAAAGAGAAAAAGAGGCAAAGAATTTCTTAATATTATCAAGAAAAAACGTTTATACTACTTAGTTATCCAGCAAAAGTCTTGGGAACCCTAAGAGGTTCTTTAGTTCAAACTTTGGGAACCATTGTCCTAATCACTTGAATGATATATCAAAGGTTTCCCACAGCAGCAGACCAATATAAAAATATAGGACTCCCAGCCAGGCTCCCAGAGACCCAACCTGAGCCACCCTGGGCCTCTGCTCCAGACCTCCCTCCGTCCTCTTCTGATCCTTCTCAGAAGGACCTCCCCAGGAAGCTCTGACATCAGCAAGTCCAATAAAAAGGCTAAAGATCTTTCATGCTTACCTTGCCCTCTTATTCCCAGAGGCTAGCCTGATGGTTTCCCAGGGGCTGAGTAAGTCTGTCTTCCTGGAAGAGTTTTCAGGGAACACTTCATTATTTGGCAGCTCTGGAAGGTCAAGGCCAACTTTGAAACATTCTCACTTCAAAAGGGCACTGGGCTATGGTCAGATCGGCTCTGATTCTAAGATCTCCTCCAAAGCCTAGCTGAAGTTTGTCTTAACTCTGTGCCCCTGGGCTGCTTTAGGCTGGAATTAATACAGACCCTGGGGCATGGTTTTAAGACTTACCACCCCTCAGACACTTGAAAAGGGAGGGCCAAGATTTCCTCTTAAAAAAAAAAAAGAAAAGAAAAAGATAGTCTGACAGCACTTAGGAAGCCTGAGTTTTAACCTGGGACTTGGAATCAAGCATCGGGGCTCTTAAGACATGGAGACTCAATTTTTTTTTTAACTCTTCAGAGATCTTTATTCCTTATACCAGCGGTCCAACTGATAAGACCTTTTCTTTTCTTTTCTCTGCCCTGCTCTCTCTCCAACAGGCTTGCAGCCAATCTACTGGAGCAGGGATGACGTAGCCCAGTGGCTCAAGTGGGCTGAAAATGAGTTTTCTTTAAGGCCAATTGACAGCAACACATTCGAAATGAATGGCAAAGCGCTCCTGCTGCTGACCAAAGAGGACTTCCGCTATCGATCTCCTCATTCAGGTGAGAGTCTGGACTCTTCATATGGGCTCCATGTGGAAAATCTGTAAGTCAGCGGTTGGCCTTTGCCACCACTCGTCCAACCTACAGAACCTCCACAGTCGGTTATCACAGGCAGATGACAGTAACACTTTTGTAAAAGGAAGATTCCACTGACTTAAGCCAGTTTTAGGGCAGAAGAAGTTTCCAGATCAAGGGGAGACTTGAGGTTTGGAGAGGTAACCCACTTATGACCTACAGACATTGGAACTTAAGGGATCTAGTTGTGCCACCAGGCAAAGAAGAAAATGCCATTCCTGCCCTTGCATCTGTCTACCTGGCTCCTGATTCTGAAGACTTTCAGAGATGGCTGGGAGAGAGTATAGGTTGTGAACTGCTCGTTTAACAACAAGAAAGGAAGGGACATGGACATTGCTGAGGCCGAGATGACAGGAAGGAAATAGGAATGAGGGAACTGGAAGTAAGGGCTGGGAAGTATGGAACTACTAGTAGCCAGGGCAAGTTTAGCAATAACTCAAAGGGCCTGGAGTGATTTACCGTGGAGTCCGGACATTTTTTGAAGTAAGACTTGTAAAAAATCCTGAAAGATAAAAGTAGAATTTCCTAGAGACTATCTAACTAGGAAGATTTGTCACAATGTGGGCTCCTAAATGACATTAGAAGGTTTAATTGAATTAACAAGCATTTGCACCTGCAAAGTATGTTTCTAATGTAAGACTTCAGATTTGCTTCTCAACTTTATTTTTCCCACTTTATGGATATGGAGAAGATATCCATAAAAATATAAAACTTGAAACTGCATATAACAAAGGGGAACTTCCATCTGAGGTTTATTCTCTTGAGGGGTCAGTTAGGAAGCACAGAAGGTCCTCATCCTTTTGAGTTTCCTTACACACCGGCTTCCATGTGACTTGCCTGGGAGAGTCCCTTTTATTCTTTGGCAAAGGGCAAAGATCCTGCATGAGGCTGTGGCATAGCCCCTAAGTAAATTCAATTCTATTTAACCCTGGAGGCCTGCCAGAAATTAATAAACTAACTGTCGTCAGGAAACATCTCCCATTTCGGTGGGGTGAGATAAAGCTTTAAAGTAGAATACCATCTCCTCCTTTTCCCAATTGCTGCAGACCGTTTGTATGAAGAAATGCTAAAGAGGAAGTTTCCCCAAGTATAGATGTTATTGAAACTTGAAAGTTTATGTCTCTAAAACAGGTAATTTTTAAAGTCTTATCAGGGACTCAAGCATACTAGGAACATTTTGTCTCAAATCATTGATTTTTGGAGGGTAATCTCAGAACAAGAAAACTATAAAACAGCCATATATGTAACTAAAACTATCCTAAGTAGTTCCTTTGAGTTTGTTGCAAAATACTTCCCTTTTCTGTTCCAGTGGAAACTCAGTAGTGTCATGCTCAAAGAGGCAAAGTTATATATTTGAAGGCAAAAACCCCTAACTCTTTAGTGTTCCAGTGAAGCTGCTTGCGTAAAAAAAATGCAAAAAAAAAGAAAAATGCAGTGGTGTGTCTGACTGGATTTGACCCTGGGCAAGCCTTCCTCCCAAGACCCTATAAATTTCCCCTGCTTCGTAGCTCACATGCTCATCTTTATTATGGGTCTATTTTCCTCCCCAGTGACCTCTCAGTTTTCTTCATGGAACTTGGTTCTCTCTGCTCAAAGCTATGAATAAAGATATGTAAAACCAGTCAGTGGCTCCTTGCCACTCTGTCAAGCCTTTGCTGGGGTGGGCCATGTGGAAGATGGCCCTGCTCCCAAGGAAGTTAGTGTCCAGTTAGACAGGCAGAATGGCATTGAACCTAAAGACCAAAGACAGCTGGAGAAGGGAGAGAGCAGATAGGGATGGGTCACATGAGAGAAGAAATGGAGTTGGTCTGGAACATGAAGGGTGGGTAGAATTGAGTAAGCGGAGGTAATTGGAGGGGATTCGTCTCATAGATTTGAGTGATGGTTAAAAAAGAGGAAGAAGTCCACTTAATGTATCGAAGAGGTAGAAGACAAGAAGGCCAGCTAAGGCCAGCGCCCTAAACCAGACACAAGGTACTAGAGACCACAGATAGGTGGTGGCAGTAGAAATTCACTCCGTGAGTGCTTACTGAGCAACTCTGCAACAGTGGTATGGAGGTCCAGCTAGATTATTAAATGAAGCTCAAGGGTATGGCAGTGGAGATGAACTTTGAAAACTTGAAAAGGTTAACAAGAGGGAAATAAGGAAGGATGTTGAGGGGGAGGTGGTATGGGCAAGTTTGCAGGAAGAAGAGTTCACAGATAAGGTGGTACATGCTACATCCTCCATTTGAAACTGTGCACTATCACTCACCATCCCTCCTCTCACTTGTTTGATTCCCTTCTCACGTTTCAAGTTGTGTGACTTTTCCTGAAATGTTTAACTTGACTCACAACCCTGTGTCCCTAGAATCTTATTCCCTCACAATCTGGGTTAGGTGCCATTCCTCTTTTATCCCAGAGTATTCTCTGCTTCATGGCCCCTCACACCCATGCACACACAGAGAATATATACATGACTGGTTTCTACCCCATATCCATCTCCTAGAAGAGAAAAGTTTAGTGTGGGCAGGGGTTTTGTTCTGCACTACCTAGCACAGGTTATGGCAACCAGTTGGCTGGCACTCTAGTGGAATGATGATCCAGCTTGAGTGCGCCTTAAAAGCCCAGGTGAAGAAGATTGGATCTCATTCTGCAGATGATGGGTGACCTCTGGAAAGTTTTGGTCAAGAGAATGACCTGATTGGAAGTCTTCCTTTAGGACAGACACTTACCATCAGTGCAGAGGGTGGATTTACTGGGTCATGGTCACTACAAGCAGGAAAGCTAGAGAGAGTGCTGTTGCTATAAATGTAATGCAAGACAGTGAAGTCCAGACTGGGATTGGTGAGACGCAGCATCCAGTAGTGCTTCAGACACAACATGGTCAGCTATGGTGGGGAGCTGATTTGGAAGTTGTAGAAAGAGTTCATTTGGGAGCAGGCAGAAAAGAGTAAAGAAGACATGTCCTGTGAAAAAAGAACAAAGCTGCTAGGAGCCAGAGCTGGGGATAATAGAAAGGAGTATTGTCCCCAGTAGGTGGATTGTTGTGAGCTGGGATGAAGGTGAATTTATTTATATTGTGGGTAATTTAATTATAGTATCAGCCAGAAAACCAGGGGCAGAATTGCCAAGTGACACCTGCTAGTAAGGGCTGCAAGAAAGCTTATCAGATTACAGAGGAGTATCATCCCAGGCTCTGAAGGACAGAACAAAGACACACGTAAAAGAGCCATCTTGTGAAGTGACCAGCAACCCCGGCCAGCCAGATGAGGTACGATGTGGGCACAAGTGTTCTCCTCAGGCAGAGACATGGTTTATATAGAAAATCTTTTCTTTCTTTCTCAGATGGAACATTTGCCATTGTTTCTTCTGATGTGGGCTTTCTGCGTTAGCAGTTTGGTGGCTTCTCCACCTGGCTTGTCACAAATCACATCACTTACTTTAGTTTCTTCATCTGTAAAATGAGGTTTTCACCACGTATGTCCTAAGCTCCCTTCAACGACTAACAGTTTGGCCCAACTTCAACACTGAAACAGTGTGAAGCTTTAGTGAACAGTAGGACCACCCCACCCTGCAGGCAGTCTCCTTCCACCCAACCAACTTGTAAGATGTAGACTTTACACAGTTTTTTTTTTTTTTCCCCTATCTTTGAATGTTTTTTGCTACTTAAGCAGAGTTGGGAGTTTCTTCTCACTATTAGAATAAAACCAAAGTACCTGGTGGCCCCATCACATAAAAAGAGGACCATATCTTCCACTCAGCCATGTTTTCCACACCTGGTCTTTCCCAAAGCTGGGCTCTCCTAATTCATCTACACTGTAGAGAAGAGAGCTGACTCTATGCATTATAATTGCCTGAAATATGAATTTACCTTAAGCTCAAATACAAAAGCTTCTCCAAATGCTGTGTGTTGTATTCTTTGGTCAACTTAACAAATCATACTTATTCATGTTAGGAGGAGAGTCGTCCTTTCCCACCCCTACAATAAAGCAAGGAGCACTTGGGCTGTGCTTTAAATAGCTAGTGGTCTCTAAACAGAGAGTATCACAGTTGAAGACAAATGGGGTCTTTTTTTTTGGAATGGTCTCCCGACCAGAAGATATAACAAGATAACAAGCTTATGACACTTGCAAAGTTTAAGAATAAGTGTGAAAGGATCCTAATTTTATGAAAGCTTCACCCAAACAGAATAATTTTTCCCTGGGTTACTAGGTAGTTACCACAATTAAATGGTTGTGGGGCGATTTGAACTCAGAGAGATATTTGGCTATAGGACTGCTTTTGGACTCTGAGAAAATACACTAGTAAGAGGGAACAGACAAGATATCATTCATATTTACTCTTATTTGACAGTTATCCATTGCAGGGCATTCAAGTGGAATGGATTTATACACCCTTTATTTTATGAGAACCAAAACCCTAAGTTAGTATCAATTTAATTCATGTTGTACCCTCATTCAGTGCTAAAACAAAATTGGGGGGAGAACCATATTTTCAAAATTCCTTCAATTCAATTTAAAAATTTATTGGAGATTTCAAAACACATTGGGAATTTTAGTGTACTAAAATTCACAGTCTTTTAGTATTCCAGAGGATGATTCTGCAAATTATTTCTACTCTTGTGGACCCTTGTCAATCCACCAGAACCTTTGTCTTTGGAAATATATTTTGCTTGTATTCATAAATATAGTAAAAAATCCCATTTCAAAGTTAATCTGAAAATACTAGTCATGTACAGAAGGTTCCTTGAACCAATTTGCCTAAATTTCTGTTAAGCAGTGACAAGTAGTTTGCTGAATTAAATGGCTGTGTCTTCGGGCTGCTTTAGAATTAAGTCAGAGAATCCATGGATCCAGATCCCAGAAGGGGAATTATCACCCAGAAATGTGGGAGCTACCCAAGTGCTCCTTGCTCCTTGAGTCAGCTCTTCCTTCTCATACTGT